CAGCTGTCAGCTACCTAAAAAAGGATCCTGGTGTTATTTGTCTCTCAGAAACAGTTCATAACTTCCCTTCAACTCATTCATGTCACCTAAAAGGTAAACCTGTTTCTCCATCACCTGTTCAGCTCTGATGATCCAGTAAGGACATCTCCTGGTTTCATCTTCATGTTTCCCTCTCACCAGATAACCAAACCATATCATGACCAGCAGCTTTTTTCAGCTGTGGCTCCAGCAAACATCAGCTGATACTAGAAATTAATATTAAATAAATTCTAACAACAGCTGATCAAGCTTAAACGTGCTGCTGTTGTTTAGCGCGACATCCGCTGGTTTCCTCTTTCGGCGCAAAGTGGGCGATAAACAAACAAGAGAGCCGATCAGCTGATCATTGATCAGTTTTCATGATGAAGTAGAAACGGGAGAGGGAGGGGGAGAATGAGAAGAAGAGGCAGCTGTGCAGCAAAGACACAGAATAACTCCAGCTTTGTGTCTTTTTCATTGTAGCTGAATTACGGGACAAACTGTTCCTTTTCACCTCAATAAGAAACGCGTAATATTTTCTCTGAATACCAGACGGGACGGTTGGCAACTCTAATAACTTATGAACAAAATAAAGTTCAACATCATAACTTCATAGCACCACCCAGCTGTATAGAAACTCCGTCATGCTAGCTAGCACGCAGTACGGAAAAAGTCAGAATAACGAAAATAAACTCCACCTAAACTTGGTTCATATCTGACCCAGAGAGACTGCAGGTCATAACTTCTTACCTGAAGTTCAGTTCACACTTGGACCGGCGGCCGCCTCGGGTCTCTTTTCCTTCTGCGTCCCTTTTCCTTCATCCACCTGCTGGCCTCCACCACTTGCTAATGTTACTGAATCTGTGGAAGCTCCGCGATAGCCACCACACGAAGTAACGAGTAACGAGCCTATCTAAATCCCAGTAACGACTAACGCGTTCCTGATTTTGGCATAATAACTAGTTACCGTGCTCGTTACCACAATAATAACGTAGTTACTGTAACGCGTTACTTAATAACGCGTTAGTCCCAACACTGGTCGTGTGTAAGGAAGAGGACTCCCTTACTACATTTATTTATATTATATTATCTGTATAGCACTTTAGAGCACACCTTTCACTTTATTAAAAGCACCTTATCAAGCACTTTATTTAGCATTGCACTTTAAGCATGGATTTGCACACAAGAAGTTTATTTATGACTATTTATTGGGAATTTTAAAATCAGTTGGTAGCCTTATTTCAGATCCTGCACAGCTGCTCCTCATCAAGGAATGTGGTGGTTGTCTGTCAGGAGAGAAGAATGGTGATTGAGATTGTGATTAAGGTTTACCAGTAAGGAAAACTAATGCAAATGTGTGTGTGAAATCTAGGGATAAAAGTGGTGCAAATAAGTGTTTGAAGATAATGATTACTCACCTTTCTTGCCTGTGTCCTCTTCAAGGTGTTTGGGCAAATGTTTCCCTGGGGCAGTGTTGCCAACTCCTCAGTAAGGAAAATCGCTATTGGTTGTCCTAAAAGTCGCTAGAAGTCGCTAAATGACGTCATCGCCTTTTGCATAATTGTTCATGCTAATCTAATCTAATTGTAACCTATGTTGTTGGAGAGAGAAATAACTGTCATGGTCTGGTTGGGCACCTGCAGGTCTCAGACAGCGGCTCCTCCTCCTTTAGGCGGAGTCCGGTTGCCCCTCCCGGGCTGACCACCTGTGAGCAATCGTGCCAGCGGTATATCAGACCTGCGCTCTCAACCCCTCATCGCCTGAGTATCTGCTATTCCCATGTTAGTTCTGTGGAGCATCCTAAACCTTGTCTTAACGCCGTGTGATGACTCACCTGTCCTTTCTTGTCCTCAGTGATAGCACCCGGAGTGGAGATCTTGTTCCCCTCGCTCCCATCCTCCTGGACCGGGGCCGCCAGCTGCTTACACAACGTGGCCTGCCGGCCCACCGCTCACCTGCCTGCCTCCCCACGCCTCGACCGCTTCCGGATTTTCCCCCCACCTGTCCCCTCCATCTGAAACCAAGTAAGGCAATTCAATTCAACTGCGGAGGATTGTTGGTTGTCTGCTGGATCCCTCTGATCGTGATCTCCTCTTGTTCCAGTGCCCCCGGCCCCTGCCTAGTCCTGTTTCTACCTCCCCGCTGTCCCCGCTGTCAGCTGTCTCCTAGAGGTGTCTAGGTCGCCCTCATTATCCCCGACGAACCCTACGCGCCACTAGTGTGGTGGCGTCGCTTTATGTTTTACCTTTGTTTACCTGTGGGCGGAATAAATCATTTGTTTTCAGTCACCTCGCTTCCGGGTTGGTTTCTGCGCCTGTGTCCATCCCTGTTCCCTCGTGCCGCTGGGGGAACCGTGGAAGAGACATAAAGTGAGTAAAAAACGTCCTAAATGCATTTAGAGTTTATTTAGAACTACAAATTAAATTTCTTTTAGCAATTATTGTTTTTTTTAATGTCACAATTCCAACCCTGCTCCTTTACCCGGGCTTGGACCGGCAAAAGTGACCCGAAATAGGCACTCTGGTGGAGTTACTTTGTGTGTGTGTGTTTATAAGTAGTTTTAAACCTTGTGATCCACAAAACAGCATAAGAGTAAAAGAAGAACTGACTGCGTTACAGCACCCGCTGCTTGTTGAGAGTAAAAGCGATACGCGCTTTCACGTCTTTTTTTAGCGACTTTTTTTTAGAAAAAAAGTCGCTAAGGGGTCTGAAAACTCGCTAAATACAGGGAGTGCAGAATTATTAGGCAAGTTGTATTTTTGAGGAATAATTTTATTATTGAACAACAACCATGTTCTCAATGAACCCAAAAAACTCATTAATATCAAAGCTGAATGTTTTTGGAAGTAGTTTTTAGTTTGTTTTTAGTTTTAGCTATTTTAGGGGGATATCTGTGTGTGCAGGTGACTATTACTGTGCATAATTATTAGGCAACTTAACAAAAAACAAATATATACCCATTTCAATTATTTATTTTTACCAGTGAAACCAATATAACATCTCCACATTCACAAATATACATTTCTGACATTCAAAAACAAAACAAAAACAAATCAGCGACCAATATAGCCACCTTTCTTTGCAAGGACACTCAAAAGCCTGCCATCCATGGATTCTGTCAGTGTTTTGATCTGTTCACCATCAACATTGCGTGCAGCAGCAACCACAGCCTCCCAGACACTGTTCAGAGAGGTGTACTGTTTTCCCTCCTTGTAAATCTCACATTTGATGATGGACCACAGGTTCTCAATGGGGTTCAGATCAGGTGAACAAGGAGGCCATGTCATTAGTTTTTCTTCTTTTATACCCTTTCTTGCCAGCCACGCTGTGGAGTACTTGGACGCGTGTGATGGAGCATTGTCCTGCATGAAAATCATGTTTTTCTTGAAGGATGCAGACTTCTTCCTGTACCACTGCTTGAAGAAGGTGTCTTCCAGAAACTGGCAGTAGGACTGGGAGTTGAGCTTGACTCCATCCTCAACCCGAAAAGGCCCCACAAGCTCATCTTTGATGATACCAGCCCAAACCAGTACTCCACCTCCACCTTGCTGGCGTCTGAGTGGACTGGAGCTCTCTGCCCTTTACCAATCCAGCCACGGGCCCATCCATCTGGCCCATCAAGACTCACTCTCATTTCATCAGTCCATAAAACCTTAGAAAAACCAGTCTTGAGATATTTCTTGGCCCAGTCTTGACGTTTCAGCTTGTGTGTCTTGTTCAGTGGTGGTCGTCTTTCAAAAAAAAAATCATTAAAGATGCTGCACAGTCATCCCAACCGGAAAAAAGAACAGTTAACAGAACAGCTCAAAATTAGCATGATATTCATGAGTGTACTGTATGCTGGCGTGGTAACAGTGTGGACTCTTGTGTAAGTAACACTGGACCTTTATGCACAGACTATCAAAAGAATAGGAACCTTTTCAGTTGACTGCTGATTAATATGGTCATATTTTCACTATAGAGTCGAGCACGAGAGGCATGAAGTCGCGCTCACAGCACTGTCATCCATCACCAAACAGCTTTAAGCCTCTTTAAAATCGAATGAAGTGTGTTTTGTAAGAAATCTCAATTGAAGTTCAGGTAATTACTGAGTATTTGATTAGCAGTATTAATACCAACCCTGCACGGACCAGGAAAATTGCCCACAACCATATTTTACCGTAGATGCACAAGATCAAGCGGTAATGCTATACTCAGGCCAGCACGAGTATAATACTCATGTTGGGTTTTACTACATGGGTCGCTGCATGGAGCATGAAACTAAAACACAGCCAAGAGTTTAATTATCTCCAGGTTCAGCTCTGTTCATGAAGCACTTTGGATAAAAGCCTCCACTGATTGGCAGAGGTTTGCAGTAGAATGAGCATAATAGTAGAGCAGAGTGAGGTGTCAGAACAGGGGGTTGGGCCCTGTACTGTTATTATCAAATTCCCCACATTACACTGCTAGGTGTTAATCATCAGAGAGGAGGGATGATTGTGGTTTGATGACAGAAAAAGAAAGAAATCGAAATTCATCTCAGCCACCACTTTCAAAGTAGTGTTATTGTTTGTTTCTTAAGCTTTTCTTGTCACTATTGTTTCATAATGTGTTTGTCTTGTCAATTCCGTTTTATTTAAATAGCACCAAGTCCCAAGAACAGCTGCCTTAAGGCGCTTTATATTGTTAGATAAAGAGCCTACAATAATAGAGAGAGAAACTCCAACAATCAAACAATCAGAAGTTCGAAAGAAAACTTTCAACTAGTTATAGCCCATCAGTAAAGCACCAAAAACAGGCTGCTTTCCATTAAGATGGATTCAAATGTGGCTAAATGTACAAATAACACAATTGTCCTCACATTAGAATAATATTTTAATAAATAAATAGCAGCATCACACAGAAAAAAAACATCATGTGGATGGTGACATAAATTGTAAAAACTCATAAAAATGTGTCATAGACAAACATTCACAATTAAAATGGTATAAAAAACAAAAAAATAAAATAAAACAAAAAAACAAACATCCACTACATAACACAAAAAAGTTCAACGCATAAAAAGTTCAAACCCACGAACGCCGGATAATACAAGAACGAGACAAACCAGATTTCTGTGTCGATGCAAACCAGCATCAAAGAGGGTGTTTAAATTCGGGGCTCGAGAACGAATGTCGTCTGCAATGAAATTGGATTTAGAGTTGCTGGGTTTGTCAGACTCTTGAACATCCTGGCTACTTTCTGAGCCGTTTAGTGACAGAGTTGCATGTTTGGGAAGATCAACCAGAGTACCTTTCAAAAAGCTCTGCTGAAAAGTCTGATTAGCATTTTTGCAAATGCATTTTTATCTGAAAACTGTAACATGTTGCGAGCTCCTGGGGTTCTCTTACACCCTTTGACATCCTTCCAAATGATCCGGAAATGGCAGGAATTATTTTGTGTTTAATTGCAGCAATTTATTGCTATTTCCGTGAGATAGAAAAGTAAAGATTATGACATTCTGGGAAATATGTGCATTTGACTTTGTTGCTGTTTTTTATGATTTTATATACACAATAGGATGTGCTCATATGAGTTGGCATTTCAAAAGTCTTGTCCAGCGTTATGTTTGGACTGAAATATTGAGAACTGATGTAAAAGCGCAGAGGATATTTTTGCTACATGCTTACATCACACCAGAAAACTGTCAGGATGATATTTTCTGGGCCAAAGTGAGTCCGGACAGAATCAGGATCATATTAAATAATCAAGGCTTGCTAAGGTTGGCTTTAGTGCTTTTTCTTCTCCTTCATGATGAACAGGGTACATTGCCAAACAGAATAGATCTTCTGTTATGTATAAGTTGCTGGAAAATAAAAAAAATGTTATTTTCTAACCTTTTAACAAGGTTAGAAAATAAATCTGGTGATGCTAGAGAGTAGGGTTAGGGATATGTTAAAGTCAAAGTTTTTCTATAGAATTTCTGCCTATTTGGAAGAAATGCAAACACTAATACCTGCAATGCCAAAATGAATTTATTAATTGTGTGTGTATTGCAACCATAATCCCACCCTGGGGGGAGACCAGGAGGATGTTAAAAGGTTAAGCTCTTGAGTATACTCCACTGTGGACACCTGATGACTGAGTAGTCTTTCCTGATTGAAGTCTGCCACCTGAGGCGCTTACATAGTTGGCATGCAATTTCTCCTCGGATAAGTCAGAGCTGTTACAAAAAGCATGCAAGCACAGGGACATCCACATGGACCCTTGCACTCACTGTTTGATGATGAAATTACTTGCAGACATACAAAGTATAATCCCGGCTTATGTGCCAGGTGTTATTCAAATATACTATTTAATCATAATGCGTTATAAAATATGCACTTACAGCAAAATGAAGCCTGGCATAGTGCATCATTTTATACCAAAAGGAGGAGATTCTGATGTAATCATCATAAAAAAATCATAAAAATTACGAAATGAACCCCCATTAGCACTAGCATGTCAGACCTGTCTTCAAGTGCTAGCATGGAGTAACTAATATTTGCTAGCTAGTTAGTGCTATTGAAATTTCAAAACTATAATTCACAATTTGTGGCCACAAAAGAAGTTCTTATAATACTTCTACTTGTTGGGTTTTTTAAATAAATAATAAATGACAGATTATGTATTATTCAGACGTGTTGCTAAGGCTAGCAGGTTCACTCTGCTCCCAGTGTTTATGCTAGCCTAGGCTAACAGTGTCCTGGCTTTGCTAATGATCATATAATTAAAGCAAAAAAACACATTTCTCATAATGTCAGAACATTCCTTGAGTCTCTGTATAGACACATAATTCCTTGAAAATGTAAAATGATTCATACCAGGTAAGAAAATGTGTCAGCTAACACAAGATACAGCGCATTGTCATCCCTTTATGAGTTTCTATATACTGCTGTAGCATTTCTGGGATTTTTCCTTTAATCTTTAACATAAACCCAAAAAGCTCCCGGAGAGGGAAGAATCTTTCTCTCTTTCTTTGTACTGAAAAGAAAGTCTGTCAGAAAACGGCTCCAGCTATGTCTATACACACCAGGCCTGGATCGAATTTCACTGAAATCTTTTCAGAGTGATTGCTTTGAGCTGTCCGGACAGGACTGGCACCTGCAGGGACGTTCGCGGTTCAGTCCACTGTGCTGGACACAATCAATAAAACCCAGAAAAGCTTCTGAATCAATCTCAGACTGCAATTTGAGCCAAGCTCGGTACACACACAGGTACACGAGAAACATAGAGCTATTACATTGTGACATAGTGAGTTGGCTGGCCTGGCAGCGGCTCTTTCCATGCCGGAACACAATCCTTTCAACCACGTTCAGAGAGTCCTCTCTTCTCCTTTTATTTTTTTTCTTGTTTTTCCCCTTGTTTACATATTATTGTGATAATTGGGAAGTCAATGAGGATAAAATGCCCGAATGCTGTTTGGATGGTGCGTTTTGTTGATTGCCCTGTGTTTGTTCTTTATTTCTTTCCTGTACTTCACAAGAAAGCAAAAACCTAAGTGAGGCAGAGAGGACCTTTTGAACAACACTTTAAACATGCATGATATTCGTGGGTCAAACCTCATTGTTGGCTTGCCAACATTAGCTCATGTAGATCTCTCCTTGTGGAGACAAAAGTGGTGCCAATGCCCACTGGGTAAGTCTGTAGCATACAAATAGTGGATAAATTATACAGAGGCGCATAGAATTAGAACAAAGGGAACTATTATGGTTCATTCTAATTGCATGCAGAGGTGGCTGCAGACCTCAGGCTCTAGGTTCGATTGATCACATTGAAGGCTTTGACCTTTTACTCTTTGATTTTGAAGGGCATAGGGGAGATTATGGGCAATAAACATTCAAGTGTTTGTAAGTTCTTAGTGTTTTTATATGCTTGAGGCGAATATTAAGAACATCAAATATTGATTTCTAGAGAAACTGCCATCTACTATACAAAAGTAGTCATTAAGTGTGAGCCAGTCAGAGATATTATGTTTTAGAAAGTATTCGTTTAGAAAAACGAGGCAGATTGAACAAAGACTGGTCAATAAAGTGGAAACAGTGGATGGAAAGAGATTTTCCAATAATGCAAAGTATTCATCTTTCATTTTAAGGGTCTTTTTTTCTACTAAATAGCCATCTTTCTAGTATTGTTTTCTTTTATGGAGAAGCGCTGTGATTTTGTTTTACTTTGAAAAACTCCAGTAAATTTAGCCCAACTTTTAATTTAAGGTTAAATCTTCTTTATACATTCATATCTTATCTTCTAAGAGGCGAAGTTCTTGATGAAAAGCATGAACTTGACCTTCAAACTCCACACAGTATTATATCTTTTGTAAGGCGGAGTGTTGCAGATACTTAGTCTTTGCTGTTTTAAAACAAGTTTTCCATCCAGCATTTTGGGTATTTTACTTCCACAGGACACATTGGATCAATAAAAACAAGCAGGTTTGTAAAGCTAGCAGAGTGCTGTATTACCTATCTGCATCTTTGACTGCGTCTTTGACTTAAGATTATATAGTCTACATTAGGGGTGTTGTCCAGAATCGTCCCAGCAAATGGATCCCATCCTGGTTGGCCGAGTGTTTTTGAACAACGTTCAGGGTGCAGAGAAGGAATTTTTGTCTTTAACACGAAGTTTTACAAACTGCCATGAGAGCGACTGGACAAACTGCTGATTATTTCTTCCTGACAAAGATGTTATTAATGGTCTGTCACACCAAACCAAGTTTGTAAAACCAGTGAGCTGTGTCTTTTGTTTGATTTATGACCCTGGGATTTCTTTGCGGTGACGGTCGACCAGAACTAAGACATATTTTTGAAGATCTAGTTCCTTTTTCAGGCCATCTCAGGCTGTTCTTCATCGATTTTGTAAATGGATAGTTCGTTAAATGTGAATGCCTTGACAGTAAAAACTAAAAGCTGAGGTATTTCTAGCAGGAATTAGAATCGGGCCGATTAGAACTACCTCATGATGTCCTCTGTTATCTCGGATAAATTTGTGAATTTGTTCATGAGAAAATCAAACTGCAGGTATTTCATCCAGAGTGGATGAAGCATGCCGTCTTGTCAGATGTCAATAAAAATGTGGGAGGAGGGAAAGTGGGAGTGAGAGAGGTGGAGTCAGAGTGACAGGGCTCTGAGTGTTGGGGACTTTGTCTCTTAGGGTATCGACTTTCTGTCCGTCTCACGGATGAAATCTAAAGCTACTTGGTCTTAACTGTGAGTTACTGTGAAGCTGTAGCAGATCAGAGAGTCTGACTCAGTGCAGGGTTGAAACACTGCCAAGCAAACCATCATTGGAGCTTTAGTTTCAGTGTAATTCTTCGATTATTACTAAAATTTGTTGATTTATATGCAAACAAAGCCATTAGTGTTCTTTCACTTCTTCCTTTTTTGGCTTTCACTCTACCCTTCAAGCAGGTTTTAGCCTGCAGAATGACTGAAACGGGACTAAATTAATAACTGTCCTTGAATACAAATCCCTCATTCTTTTCTTTTTTAAAGTAGATGACACAGAGGTTCTTTTCAATTCAAGGATGTGTCCTTCACAGATGCCCAGAATATCAAATTGCGAAGATTTGTGCTTGTAGATGATATGAAAATCCTGATGCGCAACCTGATAATATGATATGCATGCTCATTAGTTTGGGATATAGTCAAGATTAAAGTCACATATAAGTTGTGGCAAATCAATCAAAAATCAAACCTGCTTTGACTCAAACTTTTCATTTATTTGCATGAGGCTACGTTACACTGTAGTCTTGTTTTAATGGCTGAATGCAAAAGATATACATTTCCCCGTTTGGCTTGTATAAAGAAAAGAGTGGGAATGAGTAATGAGTGTAAACATGAAAAGAGTTCAACTTAACATAAAAAAATTACATATAATGCATTCCTTTTAGACTGTTTTACTTTTATTTAAGATTTCATTGGTTGCTTTGAGTTAAAAACCTGTGGAAGTAGTGAATTTAGCATTTTGCAAAGTGTTTCTGTTGGTCAACAGAAGCCAGAGCCTGTCAGCTGTGTTAAGCTAAAGGCCTGCACCTTGTTTCTTAGCTCTTGTATCCCCCTTATTCAGTCCAATAAAGGAGAAGGGGGGAGGGTAAGAGGCGACCTCTCTGAGTCATGTGACCACTAGATGGCACTGTGAGTCCACCAGAGACCAGCGGTAGTACATTCCTTTATGTTGGTCCCCTCAGACACCCTTCAACTGCAGTTTCCTTCAGAGAAACATCCCCCTCCTGTCGGCTGAATAGTTTCATTAAACATGCTGGAGAGGTTCATTCAGATGACTCTCAGGACTGCTGTTGTTGTCAAGCTCGACCGGCACAAAAATATATTTGGTTTAGTTTGCTTGGTGTGGAGGGAATCCACGTGGACCCGAGCTCGGACTGCATTTTGACTCTGTGTGAAGGCTTGAAGGCGTAGTTTGACCCCAGTGGCCTCCCGGTTGGTGCTTGACTCTGTAACCTGCGTCTGTGGGACTCCGTGAAGGGCCACTTGACTTAATGCTAGGTTGACGAGAGCTGGCTCTCCACCGACCTCTTCACTTCATCCCTTTCAGTGGATCTCAGCTGGTATTGTCAATGCCATGAGGAGCCCCCACATCTTGCCACTGATGAGTGCTTAGATGTATAGGTAAAGGCCTGGTGGATGCCTTTGTTTTCTATTAATGTTATGAAAGCCAACATTTACAAAACGAGCACACTGGAAATATTGGTTTTCATTCTACCTTTCCAACCCGAAATATTAACTCTTCCGGTTTCTTTCCACATTGATGGACATAGTACGGAGAAAAAGGCTTGTCAGCAGAGACTAGTCCTTTTCCCAGTAAGAGTCCTCACTACAGTTGAAACCAGTAGAAAAGCTGTCGTGTCCAAGCACCAGCCCTGCTTGGAACAGCATCTGCAGGTTGCAGAAGACTAAAACTGACCGGATGCACACAGTCACACGCTGCTTGTGTGTTCTCTCGGGGCAGGGCTGTAGCTGATGAGTGACAGCTCCGGCTCCAGCTCCGGCTCAAGCTCCGTTTCCGGCTCTGTTTCTGAAAGCATGCAAATGTTCTGGCACTCCGAAATGCTCTGCGAGGTTATTCCGAATTGCGTCCCATCGTCCGTCGTGTCCTCCGGGTCCACTGCGAGCCTCCCGTTATCCCCCCTACCGCCATTGCGACAGTTACTGTTGCGGTCCACACCTGCCTTCCCGTGATCGCCTATAAGAAGAGGAGTCACGGCGTGTGAAGGGCATGGCGGTGGGACGAGGAGGGTTTTGCAACCCTGGCTGGCTGCGTTGGCCCCGACTTTGTACTGGCACCTGATGTAGCTGGAGAACGCTCTCCTGTAGGTCTTATTGAAGAGGGTGTAGACCAGAGGGTTGACTCCAGAGGAGATGTAACCCACCCAGACGAAGACGTTGAGGAGGTCGTGGAGCAGTGACTCGTTGCAGGAGTTGCTGCACAAGACGAAGGTGACGTTGGTGATAAAGAAGGGACACCACATGATGAGGAAGAGGAAAAAGACGATTCCTAGAACCTAGAAGAAGAGAGAGGGGGAAAAGGAAGAGGAGGAAAGAAAGAATAAGAAGAAGATAGTGAATAGAAAGTTTGCCAGTTTGAATTCCTTCCAACCGAAACGTTCTTTTTCTTTCAATATCCCAGCGATTGCACCACTTCTAGTAGAATTGATGATGATGCATTAAACGAGACATTAAATAGTTTTCAGACTTTGTAACCTTGTAACCGGAAGGTCGCCGGTTCGATCCCTGGGCTCTCTGTCCTGGTCGTTGTGTCCTTGGGCAAGACACTTTACCCTACTTGCCTACTGGTGTTGGCCAGAGGGGCCGATGGCACGATATGGCAGCCTCGCCTCTGTCAGTCTGCCCCAGGGCAGCTGTGGCTACAACTGTAGCTTGCCTCCACCAGTGTGTGAATGTGAGAGTGAATGAATAGTGGTATTGTAAAGCGCTTTGGGTGCCTTGAGAAGCGCTATATAAATCCAATCCATTATTATTATTATTCAGAAAAGGCTACAGTATGCTATAACAACTGTATAAGGCAACCTTTTGGCAAACACATCCAATTTGCTGTGTACACTGACCCCTAGTGGTCAAACAGTGGCGCACTTTTAAGTATTTACTTCTAGTCTAAGTAGTACTGAGCACTATTTGAACGTTTTTGACTACACCGCTGATGGTGTATGCCTGAGGATTATTACTCAGGAATCACCTTTTTAACCTAATGGTAACTTTATTTAATTTTAACACAGCACAACCAAAGTAAGACCAAGTTAAAAAGCCTTTTGTTTGAAAGCTTTAGAGGTTTTTCCACCAAAGCATTCCGAAATTGAAATTGTTGGGGTGTGGATTTTGCTATTCTTGGGATCATTGTCCTGTTGCATGACACAAAACATCTGCTTTTGTAGAGGTTGATCTCAGACTCGCAGACTCTACAGACTTCAGTTGTTGTTCATCTCAGGTTGTGTTTAAGACCAAATATATACTTTTTAATGTCCTGATTTGTAAACCATTAAAACTTTAAGAGGGTGTACTTATTGCACATTTATCATTTACCCCCTGATTACACGTACTAATCTTTTTATTCTCACCTTTGAGGCCCGTCTCTCATTTTTTATGGCCTGCATCATCCCCCGGCGACCGTGACTTGACGCATCGCTCCGGCCCGGTCCAGCTGCCGGCGAGCTGAGCTGGGACGCCACCTCAGAGCTGGGAATGATGCTGATGCTATCTGAGGTGGAGGCGCTGAGCAGAATGCTGGGCTCTGTGCCCTTCAGGCAGCTCAAGGTGTTTCGTCTGCTTTGAGGAGGCGGGACCTTCAACTCTGAGCAAGGGGCAAAAAAACAACCATTTAAATTTCAAACTTTTGCCTTTAAAATGTTTTAGTGGAAAGCTGAATGGCTGGACTTGCACATGTTATCATTATGTGTCAACCAGAAAACTGCTGCCTGTACAGCCAGCCAATGAAAGAATGTCAAGTTTTCTATTAACACTGCAGCTGATATTTTGTAGGGTAGAGGCGAGATGAAAAGTTAAGGCACGAGCTGAATGTTTCATTTTCAATTTTCTGTGTCTGGGATTGGAGAGAGGATAAGATGGAAAATGGGCAGAGACTGCAGTATCATGCAATTTTATCTGAACTGGAGAAGCCAAGGCTTGGCCTGGAATGGGAAACGTCCGAGTGGCGCCCAAACTGATCAGATCAGATAGATGCTGTTTTCTCAGCAGCACAACAACATCTCAGGAAACAGCTGACGAAGTGTGCTTTCTGTTTCGCCTTACCCACTGTAAGTGCTCGGAGCTGGAGAAACTTTTTTGCAAAGCTTTGTCCTTCTGTTATTCCCGCTGAGCAACGTGGCCTACACGTGATTTACGATGACAATGCAAACTCTTAGGTATCGAGAAATCCCTCTGGGAATCCTGTAATTATGCACTTCAAGAACATACAGTAATTATAGAAGCACTTGCCTTGTAGAGAGGTGTAGACCAAGCTCATTATTTCTAGTATCATAAACCTGAAAAACATCTGTTATGGGCTTTCTCATGCATAACTAAACTTAGAGAGCAGATGCATTTAATAAGGGAATACCTGATATCAAAAGTTGAAAGATAAGCAGACTTGTTACATCAGGTACACCCTGTAGGTTTAGGTCTACCCTTCCTTCGGGATAGGTTGATCTTTTGCCTTCAGCCTGGATGGCCTGCAGGCTTCTAGAGACGTGAAATGGATTGAAGATGCCAGAATTGTGATCTAAAGCTATTTCCAAGAGCTGCTTCATCACATAAGAGAGAAGGGGCTCTTTGTATCCACTCTTGTGACCAGACCAAAGTCGTTCAACCTGTTTGAGTGCTTAGCTCACATATTTGTGTGAAAACAGCCGACGTTCACATAACTGATAAACAAGGATATAGCTGCACAGTTAATTGAATATCAATCATGTTTTGGACTTTCCATAATTAAATGAGCAACAATGAAATTGCTTAAAACCGAAAGCAAATTGAAAGCAAAACTCCCTAAACATTCATGGGCAAATCATTGCCGTTCCCTACACTGTGCAATGTGAGGCATCCAGAGTGGAGTCAACTGATGCCGCCACACTACGTCTGTCCATCTCCCGCTCCCCGTCACTCGTGAACAAGCCCACGGCAAAACGCGTCAGCAGCAACTCATCCCTGACCCAGAGTGTACCCTCCTCACTATTCTCATTCCTGCCGCTTCACACTCGGCTAAAAAACGCTCCAGCGTGACCTGGAGGCCATCGCCTGACGAAGCCAACAGAACCACATCATCCACAAAAAGCAGAGACGAGATCCCGAGGTCACTGAAGTGGAACCCTTCTGCTACTTCTGTTCATAATAAATGTAAACAGACTCAATTAGGGGATCAATCAATACAATCAGAAGTAACAGGCAGATCTATAGATTTTTGTAAAGTAGGGTGATAGACCCATTGCCTTTACTGTACACCGATGAGTCATGCTCACCCACCTGAGCCAGAAAATGTCCTGACAACTCTCTGATAGAGCGACGTCCAGGACAGAGTACCACAAAATAGGGAAACAATGGCCAACCTAATTTTGAAAAAATAAAAATATCCCAAACATGATTCTAGTTTCTAGGCCATGATTTGACAAACAGGGTAAGAACTTATTGTACAGTCAGAAGAGATGATTCTTTTAGCTGCTGCTTTACTTGTGATGGATCCACATGCTTGAGTCTCAGAGGCTGGGTTTCAAACTTTCCCATATCAAAAATGGAGCTACTCAAAGTGAAGAGCTTTCTTATGTGTCTTAACACAGGGATATGTTGAAAGAGCACAGACACACATCACTTACAGAGGAACCTCCAGTATCATAATTTTACCTTATGCTAATTAGAAATTGATTATCTGCATTTGTACAGTCTTGTCATACCAATAATGAAAGTGTTGAAGACCCTGAAGCTAAAGACCAAGTCGAATAAGAAACCTAGGGTGTGTGTGCAATGAAGCATGCTGTTGGTGCTGAGCTGCTGTGGAGGCCTTCTTCATTATTAAAACACAAATTGAAATATGCCATGCTTAGGCGGTATGACTCAAACATCTCAAGAGTGGCAAAATAAAAATCCATCAATTTGTTTTGTGCTTCTTCTTGATTTAATTGCTGGAGGGTTTAATACTTATAGAGTGATTCAAATCCTTCAGAAAGTAAAACATGCTGGGATACCAGCATAAAATACATGAAAACAAAATCACTAACAATAATAATGTGTCTGTGGTTGTGTGTTATTTGCTAATACTTTCAAGAATAAATTCATGTATTTACCATAAATTCATTGGTTAAGTTAGTGGGAGATTTTCCTGCTGACATACAGGTGCAGTAAAGTCCTGGTAGGTGTTTACCTTGTGAGTCTGGAGGAGCAAGTGTATTGATCTGAGGAAGGTGGAAGGTGCTGGGTGGAGGCTGCAATGTATTTCCCATTGCTGGTGTGTGCAAAGGCTGCTGGGAAGAAGTCTTTGCCTCATACAGGAAGACTGTGGCCTGCCTCTGAAGCACCTGAAGGGGAGGGGACATAGATGAAGGCAGTAAAGTAAAGACATTACAACAGATGCATGTTGCAAAGAAGAGCAATCGCACAAACACGAAAAAAAAAGCCCTACCTGTATGGTGAGGCAGTATGTCACCACCATGATTACGAGCGGGATGAAAAAGGCCACAAAGGAGCCAATCAGCACGAAGCGCTCCTCGTTGAGGACACAGCTGCCGTTGACGAAGACCTTGTCCTTGTTGTGCAGGCCAATCACTGGAATGGGCATTGACACGCCTACAGAAAGAAAGAACGAGGGTAGCAGGAGAAAAGTCTGAACATCTTTCATTTGTAATATTTTGTGGGAACATTTTGGTGCATGCCCCTCCCTCATTTCCTAGGTTATTAAAAGGAAAGGCTGCATGGCATATATTTTTTTCCATGTGAACTGTAGCCTCTGTTCTTAGCTGACAGAAGTGGCATCCTGTGTGGTCTTCTGTAGCTGTAGCTCATCTGCTTCAAAGCTCAAGACACTCTTCTGCAGACCTTGGTTGTGACAAATTGGTATTAAACTTGCAGTTGCCTTTCTTGCCAGTCTTGCCATTCTCCTTTGGCATCAACAATGCATCTTCACTCCTGCTGCTGATTGGATGCTTTCTCCACAAACCCTAAAGATGATTGTGGTTCTGCCTTGGGTTCAGATAGTTTTCCTTCTCTACTCTAGGTTCTGTGTGGTCTTCTCAGGTCTTCTTTGAGCACAGAAGCACCACCTATTTCGCCAAATATTTTGACTGTGAGGCACTGCCCATCAGAAGAAAGACGGCTTGAAGGAAGAGGAGCTAAAACAACTTGTTTTGGACAGAGGATGTCCAAAACAAGCTACTGTGCTGCAGTCCAGTAATATAAATGTGGAGCTGGATGACCATTAAAATGTTATTAAGAGTGTTAGAAGAGTGAATGGGAACAAAATATGAACAATAAGGGCAATTTTTAGGATTTGTCTTTGTAGTGTTGTTATATTACACAGGCATAGCACAAGCAAAAGATGAATACCAATGAGTTAGAATGTAAATTGAAACAGTGGTATGCTGGGGAACTGCTGGACCTGACATTCAAGCAAATGTTAGTTTGACATGAACCTAATATACACTCCAAAAGCACCAGGCAGGAGTGGCATCGCCCAGCAGGATAATATACAGTGTGACGTTGGAAAAAACTGCAGAGGAAGCGCTCAAGCAAGATAACAAAGAGCCACATTTTTTCACTCCAAACTCCCCAGATGCCAATCTGACCAAACATACTTGGAATGCAATGAAATGAGCCTGGTTAGCAGAAGCTCCGCCCTGCAACAGAACCCAGAGTATTCACTGCAAACCCCATGATGCCAGCCACCACAGAAAATCCCCAGAGGTCCCACATCCACACCCCAGCAGGTGTCAGAGACATTTGGAGGCACAAAGCTGAATGTACTGATTGGAATCTCATGCAGGTTGTATTAATGTTCTGGTTCTGTATACACCATTTTTCACTCCATGCATCGAGTAACTAAAGCTGTATCTAATGATTCCTATTGCAAATTCCCATTGCAGTTTTTAAGGTAATGATTAATTACACCTGAAACAACACCACTTTCCACTCAGTTTTAGCGTTAGGTTATTTTAAATGCTCAGAGCCGGAGTCATTACCTGGAAACACAGAGGGTCATTTTCAGAGTAATAATCATAAATCATGGCTAGAAAATGCAACATTATCTCTGAAAACACATTTGGTGGTTTGTACCCCCGGTCCGTGAACACGCTCCTTTTATGATAATGAAAGTAAATAACTATAAGGTGCTGTAGAATAACACATTAAATATATTAAATGAGAGCTGGATCTGTAGAAATCTATCAGTGTGTAATGGATGTTTATAGCGGTGCTTTGGTGCTGTTAGAGGATACTGCTGATAAAAGCCTGAGGTGAGAGGCATCCTTTGAGACAGAGCTGATTTTCTGACCTATGATAATAACACTGACTAATGTGCCGTTTCTGATTTCAAAGAGCGCTTGTGTTAAAAGTGTCTGCTGCCCTGGGCTCTGTTTCAGAACGGAGATACCGAGGGGAGAAGCAGCGACGTGTTTTAAAGCTCTACAGGCAACAGCACTGTTTTACAGACTGGTCGCACATCTCGGTCGCCTTTTAGCTGTGTAATGCCAGAAGTGTGGGCAGGCATAAGTGCAAGATCTATCGTTTTCTCTTGGACTGCTGGCGACCGGGCCAACATCAAAATGCAATTTGGAGTCGTAGCGGCTCCCCTAATGCAATCGTTGCAATCGACTGCACACACACGCTGCCCAGAAGGATGAATTTGTCCGCATTAAAAGTACATTTTACTTTTGTGAATGTCCAAATAACTTATGAATGTAAATAGAGTTGAGTAAAGAGGCTGTCCAGCGGTCTTGGTGTGTAGACCAACGGCTCCCAGCTTTTTGCTTATAATGTCCTTCAGGTTGACACAATGATGAACTTTATTAACACCACCTCTCACAATCAAATATCTTTATTTCAACTTCTTTTAAACTCGATCTGCACTACTTTCAGTTATGGTTAGAAAAATGTTTCCAGTATTTCCACCTAACTATGGGCTTACTATTTTAGAAATGTCTGTGAAGGTTCTCAGTCATCCAGGTCATCGTAGTCAAAGGAGCTTGCAAAGAAAAGCGTCTGGACTTCTTTAAGTTGCTTGAAGACGTTTCACCTCTCATCCGAGAAGCTTCTTCAGTTCTAAGGTCAAATGGTGGAGAGTCTTAGAACTGAAGAAGCTTCTCGGATGAGAGGTGAAACGTCTTCAAGCAACTTAAAAAAGTCCAGACGATTTTCTTTGCAAGCTCCTTTGACTATTTTAGAAATCTATCCACAAATTGATTCTACGACTCTGTTTAATAGCTGTTGGTTATATTTATCTGTCCCAGTTTGTCGTTACGATTAGCTAACAACTCTATTTGTTATTCATGCTGTTAGAGAATGATTTAAATTGATTATCTTACCTTTTAATTATTTCAACTTTAAACCAACACATCCCACTGCAAGCTGTAGTGTTAGCTAGCTACTAATATTTGACATTTTTTTCCATAATTTCAGCGAGCGTTACCAATGTTTGATCCAGTATGGTTAGCTAGTCTACAATCAAAGATTGAAGCCCCTGGGTGCTGGTTTAGGTCAGTTGGATGAGCAGGTGACCATACGCTGCATGGCTGCGAGCGGCTGGCCCGGGTTTGAGTCCGACCCATTGCTCCATGTCTCTGCTTTCTTGTTAGCCTTCACTGTATCTGTGTAATAAAGCCAGTAAAAGGCTGAACAAAATATATAAAAAAATTGCAGGCCCTCTCTGTAACACACCCAAAGAAAGATTCTAGGTCTGACCAACCGTCTCAGTCGTGGGCAAAAAGATGACAGTCAATAAAATTCTAAAAGATAATTTATTGACAAAAAATATCAAGAGATAAAAGATAAAACAGTCCAGTGTCCCATTTATGAATCATATAAAAAACACACAGTCCCAAGGCCAGAGCCAGCTATGCCACACGACCAGTTGCACTCCACGTGTTGCCTTTAACAGGGTTAGAAGTTGTCCTTGGAGACCCACCACCCTGCAAGCATATAGCCAGTGGCCACTCCAGCCTCTGCAACTCTGCTGCCTTTAGGCTGTGGCATATAATAGGCCCTGGCCTGCACAGAGAGACAAAATGACACTTTCACTATAGAATTCATAGCACAAAACCCATCCATCCCAAACATATCTGATTTCATCACATTACATACCTGCACAGAGAGACAAAACGACACAGCAGTGTTTGTAGTGTGGGCTATAAGTAGACCAGTGTATCAGTGCAATCAAGTACACCTGCCTCTAATTAGTCCAACCCCATTCCAGCCATTGGCTCACCAAAAATGTGACACACACACACAAAACCACTCCCAACCCAGTGCAACTTCACACAATAATATGGAGCTGAATTAACACAGGCACATTAGTCTACCATGTTACACTCTCTCCTTCATATCTCCATACCTATGGCATTTAAACAACTGTTCTTGCACTTTTCATTCTTTTCCTGATTCACTCATCACTTCATTCACAAGCTTCTCAAATTACTCCTTCCACTTTTTAGATAGACTCTCTTTACTTATTAGTCCAGTTTCACCTCGGGCCTTAGGCACCCCTAATCTGCAGTACATATTTTCAAGCTTGATCCCTCTGCCAGGCCAGTTCTTCCACAAAATTCAGTTTCACATAGATCTCAGTAAAAAAGGACAATTCCCATACCGGGAGTTGAACACAGGCCACCTGGGTAAAATGGGACATGACAAAGGAAAACAAAATTTCAAAACAAATGGGAGAAAATGAACAGCTGGCTACATCTGCAGAGCCCTGTTCTTTTGGAGATGTGCTTGTGATCAAAGGAACAACTTCACTAAGAGTTTATTAAAGGTGACACTGAGTTGTTATAGATGCTAAAACCATCCACAAGGTTCTCTATAAGAGACGAGCCTGGAACTCTGGGATTAGACTTTTTGCACCAAGTTCAAGTTCAAATTTTATTCACCACATGCAGTGGCAGGTTGCCCTGCAGTGGAATGAACCCGCCTCCCGACCTTACACATACAACACAGACATCAGATGGGGATACAAGTCAGAGAACGGTTGCATTACAGAAAAACCACTGAAATGTACACTACAATGCGACAAGAGGAAAAAAAGAGACCTCTACTCATGCTGGGCTGGAGGACAGCATGAGAACAGGAAACAAAAAAACTCTGCACAGAAAGCACATAAATGTCCACAGTACAACATTATAGAGCACGTGACCGGCAACAGGGTTGGGTAGGGGATGAGGAGTAATCCCAGGCAACACAGCAGCCATCCTGCCACTGCGCCGACTCTCCAGCATGGGCCCAGACCCGCCCGTGTTCCCAGGAGGATACAAGCATCGAAGGCGTTGGAAGGGGAGGGGGATGAGTGAGTGCTTATCAGTGTAAATGTATGTGTGTGCGTGTCCATAGTTCAGTGTCCCTCGCCCTACCAGGCTAAGTAAGCAGTCTACCAGCCAACCCAGGTGGCCTTGCATGGAGTGGGAAGAACAGTCTAAACACAGTCGTTTAGAGTTTTGTTCAGCTCCAGCCTTGAGCCCACAGCTAGCGCCGAAGGGATAGCCGCATTATGATGGTGATTTTTCTTTTGTGCGAATAACTCATGAGAATTTCAAAGCTGTTCTTTAACACTCCGACACCGACACTGGTCTCTCAATCTCCCGTTG